CGACCACGGGTACATTGATTGTGACGCGGTTTGAGATACATTTTCACAACGTTGCAATTCCCTATAAAAATAGTAATAATAATTAAGAAAGCGGTAAAAAGTTAAAATTTGCACATAAGTTCATACTTGTATAAAAATCAGATAATCAAGCCGAATATGACAGTTGAGCGACCGTGCTAGAACCACGGAACTCGGGAATGCCTAACACCTTCTCCCGGGTTAACAGAATTCCTTATCCGAATTTCTGGTGCGCAGACTGTAATATGGAGTCATTCTTTTCCTCAATTCGGGATTAAAATTGGTGACTTGGGACACCCTAAAATCTCCCAAGTGGCGACTCTGAAATAAATAAACAAATCCCGATTCGATTGTCCTTCAATTGGAAAAACTTCTTCACCCCTCGCGGGGGCGGAAAAAGGAGGTGTGACAACGTTATATGTATATCGTCTTTTAAAAGGGCGTTATACTTAACTGGGCAAACGGTCGTTAAGGTATAGCGTCCTTTTAAAAGATGTTATATATAAATTGGTCACCATATTTTTTTCTCTACACATTTTGGTTCTTTGAGTCCAAAAAAATTACATTTTGGTTCCGGACTCCAATTTTCGTGGGTTGTGACGTGGATATATATTTCTTTTGTTGTCGAAGTGGCAGTTTTTATTTGCCAATATTATCTTGTGTGGTAGCTTAGAAAGTAATTTCCGGTTACGGGTAAAGAATTTTGAGAAATTTTTGACTAATTTATATAGGAATAACGTTTTTTTACAAAATTATTTTTTTGACTTTTTCACAATATGCCGTTAGTTGGATGTGAAATTAACGCAAAAAAGAAAAAGAAAAAGGAAGTCCATTATTTTTCCTATTATTTTCTGCCAATTTGTATTGAATTACACTGGTATGATAAGTGAATATATAAAAGCATTATATTATACTCTTTCCGGTCCATAATAAGTGACCAATTTATTTTTTTATTTTGGTCCAAAATGAATGTCCATTTATATAATCAAGAAAGAATTTAATTTGTTTTTACAAAATTACTTTTATGTATATATCCCTAAAAAGTTTTCTTACTTCTCACATTAAATATTTAATTAATAATAATTTAGTCATATTAGATATTTTTGTATAGAATTTAGTATTTTCCTAGATAAACAACTAAATGAGGAAAACGAGAACAAAAGAAAGAGCAGAAGCGTCACATTTCCTGTTTAGAAAGCAATTTTGGTCTCATTTGAAAAAGTCAAGACTTGACTAGCAATTTTTTTTTTATCTGTTTTTTATCAGCCAATCGTAGAGAAATGAAAATGAACAAGAGGATTAAGAAACATAGTTATCTTCACAGATTTTAGTTTAGGCTAAGGTTTCTTAATCTTATTATTATTATTATTATTATTATTATTATTATTATTATTATTATTATTATTATGTGTTAGCCTTTTGTTGATACCAAATAATGTACTGTACTTACTTTTGCCTATTCTTAAGCTTTTTAGTAGTACTAGTAGTAGTTGTAATTTTGGTGATTAATTTTCTATAACTCTTTTACTTTTTTTCTACATACATGCATCTTTTCATTTTTCTTTTTCTCGTTAGGCAAATAGATGTGTCAAAGATTCGGTTCGATCGGTTATTCTATAAAATTTGTACCACAGTAATTTTTTGGTTTATCCTATTATGTAAAATCAAAATTAGACTTTCCGAAATAGTCCCAATCATATCGGTATCGGTACGATTCGGTTAACTTTTGGTTATTTTTTTAATGTCATGTAAAAGTCACTAGTAGAAGTAGAATGCAATAACCTACATACTTGTATAGGACTTCAAAAACTCTTTAGACACTTTTACTGTTTAAAAGATAATGAATTAAGAAAACATGAAAGATGACCAAAGTATATATCCATCAACTATTCTATAGCAGTGTAAAAGAAACTAAGCAAAGATTAAAAAAAATACAAATCATACGAGTGGAATGATATTAACCAAGTTGGGACTCAAGAATAAAGTCTATGGAAGATTAATATTCAAAAAGATAAATCTAAAATCATACGAAAGGAAACATATTCAATCATAATCACTAGTATACCTTGTATCTTGCTAGTGAATATGTTGAAAATAATTTAGTTTCAATAAGAGTAGCATAATAGGTTTGGAAATTAGGATTTTGAGTTTAATTACTTGTTGGCTTGTAATCGTTTTTATAATTCCAAGACCCAAGAAAAAATTTAATGCTTTATTATTTTTAAACTCAATATATAAATATATTTTCCACATGTAAACATATTCGGTACGGTTCGGTAGTTTTTCGGTTTATTTTCATAAAATAAAAAACTTATCCTAATTATCGGTACGATTATAGATTTATATTAAAACCTATAATTTTATTAAAATAAACCTGAAAATCAGTTCAGTACGGTTCGGTCGGTTTTTAAATATCTCTTAACACGCTTAAGGCAAACTCTTGAAAATTTACTCAATATCTTAACAACAACAACAATCCAGTGACATACTACGAGTGGAGTTTGGAGAGGGTTGTGTATATACAGACCTTACCCCTACCCTGGGAAGGTAGAGAGGGTGCTTCCGATAGACCCTCGACTATGAAAAAAACAATAGAAACAAGTAACATCAACAAAAAGGGCCAGAAAAATAATAACAAAAGAAAATAATAGCAACAAATTGTAACAACAACAAAATACTAAGAAACCCAAGCGAAAGATAATAGGAAAACAACATGAACTACTAACACTCTAAGACAAGAAAAACTACCAGACTAACCCTAAAACAACGGTAAGAAATATACCTAGTATCTTAGCTTGCTCAACTTGATATCATCTCTCTACTATTATGGCGAGTTTTTCATAAATTTTATTTTCCAACAAACGTGTGATATGAGTAAAAAAGCACAAAATACTAGAGGGTAAAAATTGCATACAGACATGGTGAATACAAACTTCTCTTTACGTTCTCCAGAAATGTTCCCACAAAGGTTTAACCAACAGAGATGCAATTATAAATTTGCAACAATTTTCTTATGATTCCCACACTGAATGAACAGTTTAACATTTGTCTATTGGTACTATCTTTCCATAAACAATCAGTAAGAGTACTTATCATATGATTTCAATCGACAGACAAAAGTTGAATCTCCATTTATAACCATCTTTACATCTTAAAGCAAACATATAGGTCAAGCTGAAAAACTATATTTCACGTGAACAATTTACACAACCGCAGATTCACTACAAAAATCAACTATGCCAATTCTGCTACATCTCGTGTATGTGCAACTTTTAATACAGCAGGCCAGTGGTCTCAAAAGGATTGACAGGCAATGCACCGAACTGTCAAGTCTGCTATATCAGGCCAGTGCTCCCGAAAGGATTGGTTGTTTGTGGATGAGCAACATTATTAGCAGGAAATGCGCTGAACCCTGCATCGCCAAAAGGATTGTGTGGATTCATCATTGGATTTTGGGGCTGTGGATAGGCAGGTTGGAATGGTCCAAAAGGATTCATTTGATGCTGAGGCGCCATAGCCATTTGCACGGATGGAGGGGGAGGCATGGTACTAGACATGACAAATGGATCAGCAACTTCGAAAGGATTAGGGGCTGGTTGTCCATATACTGGTTGTTGAGATGCTCTATATGCTCCTTCATCATACAAACTATTGAGCGTGAGGGAGTCCAATCCACCAGCCTGTTAGAACGTTTTAGAAAAACAAATGTTAAGGAAGATACTTGATTTCACAAAGTAGATATAAGATAAGGAGATGATATTAGTATTAAGCATGCGAGTGTCACTTATGGACAACATATTATTAATATAGATTTGAGTGTCAACTCCAAGACTCCGGGCACTGCAAGGTTACACTACCATCAATGTTTTTACATGTTTGTCCTCAGATGTTTTGCAAATGCAAAGAGAAGCCACTTAAAAACTATATCTTTTAAAAATGGATTCAGAGGGCTTACCAATTGTCTCTCATGAGCTGCAGATAAGTCGCTGCTAGGAGTAGTGACCAGGGCAAGTTCCCATCCAGTAGGATCAAAATCTTTTGGCTGAGCAGGGTTTGAGTCAAACGGTGTTGTCCCTGCAAGTATTAATAGTTTATTCAAATAAACCAACACCCTAATTTGCCCAAGCACCATTACTTGCGAAGAGAAGAGCTCTACATATTAGTGGTGAAATAAAATAATTACCAGATGGTACTATTGCTAAAGCCAAAGCATTGCTTTCCTCGATTGCTGATGCATAACCAGTTGGTGTATTGAGCCCCTGAAACAACCAAAAATACTAGTAACGAAAGGCTGAAAATCCAAAAAGAATATACCTCAAGTTCCAGATAAACAACAACAAATTCAATAAGATTAGCTGACTTCACCAGTAAATCATCAGTTTCCAAGCTGCTTGGAGGCGGCTGCACTGGCGGGGCAGGAGCCTCAGAGGTTGAAACAACAGTATCATCTGAAGGCGGAGGTTTAGTTTCATTAGCTGATTCTTCAGCATCTTCAGAAGCTGAAGGTTCATCCTCTTGTTTATAGGTCAACATAAGCCTCTCAGGATATTCCTAATAATAGTTAATCATGTTAGTATTCTATCATGATAGCGGACCTGTGTATGCTACCTTTACAGATATATAAAGGAAAATATAGATCGGCACTACAGAAAGGTACAACATAAGCTGGCATATAATTTGTTTGGAGTAAATGTGTATAAGATAAACGTATTACCAATGTTTCTATTGGGACAGAAACTATGCGGGGTGCTTCTTTTATATACTCTTCCATGGTCACAAGGAAGGACTGAGGAGGCTGAAAATCAGAATAGTATGTCAAGCTGATGGCCCACAAAATTTGAAGGCAAATGAATCAACACATAAGCGAAGTAGTATGATTACCTCTCTCAACACAGGAAACTGAAAGTTCCTGGCAAGTTCCAAGCCTTTGCAAACCTCATAAAAGTCGGAGAGGCTCATGGCCTAAAACAAGATAAGAAACTTACAGATACTACCATAAACCCAGGGAGACGTCCGCATGGTGAGAGACAAGTAGTAAGAAACAAAACTATATAGTACAAATATTCTATCAAGTTCGTCAGTGCATTCACCTGCTGGCCAGCTCTTTTGTAGATACCAAGGGCCTTAATAGCTTCATGTCTTGGCATGTCAAAAAACTGAAATAAAATCAGTAGAAAAATAATGTCAAAAGATGAAACAGATATGAATGTAACGAGCAATATTTTGATGAGGTCATGTTGCAGGAAAAAGCTAAAGTCAAATGCACCTTGTCAATAAGATTAATTATTCCATCATTTATAGCACAATAGATTTTGAAGCTCTCCTTGAGGACCTGAAATGGAAAATGAGTAAATCTTTACACCATCATTCATACAATTGTGAAGTCTATAAATTGATATGAGGTTGTCAGCTGCACAAAGGCGTAATGAGCAGAAGCATTACATTTATACTTCCACCATTTCAATAAAATAAGAAAGCACTGGAAAAGGTTGGACAACCATCATGTACTCTCCCACAGTTTTCACCAACTTCAATGACTGATAGGCCACACTTTTGGTGTTTAATTAATATATATCAATCAACTTTATTTGACAAGCATAAATATCAACCAACTGAAGACAGGCAGCCAAAATAAATAAGCATACCAGGGCAAGGGCATATTGAATCACATAATTTCCAACTGCTGCTCCCTCAGGCTGTAATGTCAGAAGGAGTTTTAAATTTATGCCCCAAATAGATAAAATACAGAACTCTCAGAAATCCGAGTAGGAATGTCGTCCAAAAACAAAGGGATTGCAACAAGAAACAGAATTTATCAAGCTTCAAAATATACCCGACATCCAATAAGACGATACAACAACTGCTGCAAAGCAGGTAACTGCTCCAAAAGTTCCTCACTGGGCAACTCCCTTGTTTTGCTGTATCCCTGCTCAAAAAGTAAATGAAATTGGAAATTACATTATACTGACTAAAGAAGCAACAGACCAAAGCTCATTCAATCTGCCAAACTTAGAGAAAGTGTCTAAGCAGCCAGTAGAAGAGCAGTATCCGTGTTCCATTAGAACAGTTTATTTTTGGTTATTTAGCATGCTTGTGACAGAAATTGAAAATGACACTACGGCCGTACGGCGTGCAGCTAGCCTGCCAAATGTTAATCACTCATTGAGTTATACTTCCTAAATATAACTAGTACGGAGAAATTTGCAATACACATGATAGTCCAATACTGATACAGAAGATATCTCTAATGTATACAAAGACCAAAGCCCTAATCTATTTCTCCTAATGTGTGGGAAAATAAATTAAGTCTGGCTCTTCGAACGTCCTCTTTTAAGTGTTGTAACAAATAAACCAATTTCTGCCGGATTTTCTTGCAAGTACGAGAAGCTTTCTTTTCTATTAGCACGAAAGGGTATTTTTATGAACGCACTAATAAGTTGTAAATCATCCATAGTTCCATACTATAGAACAATCTTCTTTTCCAGTTCTGAATATAATAATATTGTATCAAATTCACCATAAGGCGTCTGTAAAAAGCCTCAATTATCACACTAATTATATTAGTACAGAAAACAATTGACACATTATTGTTTTCTTTTTGCATTGCACATTAAGGAATTCAATATGGGGTTTATATTACAAGTTACTCTAAGTCTGCTTACACTTTGATTTCACCATAGCAAATTTGCTTCAAATACAAACTTTGTTGTATTTTATATGCTTAATCTACTTACCAGAAAAATATATGCTTAATCTACTAAATGCCCACACAGAAATTGTTGTCTCTGGACTATCATGATACTCTTCTTTCTTCTTCTTTTTTTTTCTCTTCAATTTGATGGGTGAATGTCAAGTCCCTTGTCCTTCATTTGCCTTATGTCATGTCAACACAACATAGGTTTTTGATTTATTCTGAAATCCTCTAATGGGGTTTGTTTGATTGTTACTGATTTTTCTTTAATTGAACCTCCTTTACCTTTTCCTGACTTGGTTCATTCAAATTGAATTGTAATTTTGATTTCCCTGGCTGTTTGATTGATTCCCTTTCCTTATTTTTTCCAAGCCGTGCACTATTGAATTTTTTCCTTTAATAACTTCTTTGTATTTGCCCCTTTTGTGCTACTTTGAAAAGGTTTTAATCAAAACTGCTTTCCTTAATTGGCTTTTACCCATTGAAATCAAAATCCCTTAACTAAGAAAGATTGATTTCAATGTTATTTCCTTAACTTTTCTCACTTGTTTTCTGCACTATAAAAGGTGCACGGCCCTTCTGCACTTTGAGGATCCTTAACTTACAATTCAATACTTTTACAACACACTTCGAATTGCATACTCTTACACACTACTACTACTTTCAAAACCTGCATTCCCTTTTGCTCTCTTCTGTACTGTTGTTCTCTGCTCCTGCTTATTATTAGCCGGGTGAAAGTCAAGGCTAATATACTACTACTACTTTGTCTTTCCATCCCGCTCTTGCTCTTTTACTGGTATCTCTTGATTCATTTCCTAGCAATCATCCTAATGTGTTTACTTAGAACCTTTACATCTATGCCTATTACCTGCAAAGTTTGACATGTTCATATGCTACTATTTGCTTTACTTTCTTGCGAATGCTTGATCCCTATACCTTTACCCTCTATGTGTTTGTAAATGGGGATTCAGGGCATGGCAACATGAGTTGTTGTCCATGAACGGAATTTTAACCCCAAGTAAAGGGTGTCAGTAGGTTTTATTGCTGATCATGTCCTTTGCCCACTTTTCCTTTGTCTACTGTTTCTGTTATGAATCCCCGACCTTACCCCCTATGTATAATGATATGCAAGCTATCTGAAAGAAACTGTGGATCTGGTATTGGCTAAGTTGCTAGGACCCTTCAAAATCCCTGCCACACGGTTAAACACGATTTGGGTGTGGGTGTCGGATTCACGCTGGATTGGTCAACTTACCTTGGCTGCTTCAACTACATCCTTTTTTCGTGTGGATAAAGTAAGTAAATTTTATTGAAGTACCACGGAGGTACTGCAAAAAACGAAAATTACAGAGAGACAGAAGTTTCTAGGGGACATCTCATACAATCATCGCAAAAAGTCTATGAAATCTAACACAACTGATAGTTTCCCTACTGCGCTTTCCTCACACAATTAGATTAAATTGTCTGTGCATCTATCTTTAAAAAATGCTATCTGCTTCTATGACCAAAAAGTGTAGATTGATTGGATATTTGGTTTCATTTTTGGTTTTGGTATAGAATAATTGGATATTTGGTTTAATTTTTTGGTTTTATGTCAGATAACTCTATATTAATCGAATTGTATACTTGTTGATGTAGTAATATACATTTACTGGCCATATCCCAGCACCCGTATCCGCACTTGGATTCATACCCCCGAATCCTAAAATTTATGTGATGAAGAATCTAGTCTCTAGAACCGCACCCATATCGAGTACCTGCACCCGAGGTCGAACAGCATATAGAGTACTGGGGCATGTTCACAGAAACTCAATTTAGTGCAAGAAAGAAGGGAAAGAAAATAGCCGATGGACAGAGAAAGCACCTTCTCCACAATGTTTCAGACACTGAAGTGCCCAATGGTGTGGACCACATGATTTATTCATGGAAAGAAACATAAAATGAAAAATGACTTTGGTTCTAGTAGGCTAAAATCATTCAATTTTCTTCACAAAAGAAGAAGACTACTTTTTGAAGTATGCAGAATAGTAAGCAGACATTTTAACAGTATTAAGCTAACCTTTTCTTGCCCTTGGGCAGGTTTAGGAAGGCGCTCTCCTTCAATATCATACTTCATAACCCTAAAGCATTCAAGCCGTTCTTCCAGAAAGAGTGCATATGTTCGTACCCACGCTGAGCAGTCCCAAGCTGGAGGGACAAAAAAGATAGAATAATTCTGGTTGAACTGAATCTAAAGGTAAACAGAAGCTCAGAAGAACAACTAAGCTAATTTTACCAACCAATTGGGCTTGAATCATCCTTGAAATTGGACATTTGGAGAATGCGTCCTCTCTGATGGAAATTCAGCAGTTCCTCTCTAAAAGTTGGATCACCTTCCCTCAATGTTCTGTGGATTACTATCAATGTCTTCAGTGCTACCTATATTTCAGAATAAGTTGCCAACATTACATGTCAAATTGGTTGAGCAATTTAAGTGTAAACTATATCAGAAAATAGTAAAACCATAAAAGAGAGGTCATCATAAAAAATAAAAGTCTTTGTTGCCTAATTATAAAGAAATTTGTACAATGTGCCTCCTTTTCCACCTCTTCTATTTTGATGTCTATCCACTTAATTACCCTACCTCATCACTACACTAAAGTTAGTTGAGATTACTGTCCACGATATGTTTGGCTGCTTGCAGAAAAACCAGAACTTACAACTATTAAAACCTAAAGCACATCTATGTCAAAGTCCTCAAAGAATTTCAACATGTGAAACTCATCGTTATGTGCAGCCTGGAGGATAACATGTCTCATTTAAAAGGAATAACCTTATCAAAAAAGGATGTCTCTCATAAGAACAACCAAATATTAAGGTGCACTTTTTACCACTTCCACCTTGCAATTTCACAAAGATTTTACCCGCTAAAATGGTCGTCGATTCTAGACAACTCACCTCCTCCTCCACCTTTTTCCTCTCATAAAAAACTCCCGTCATTGAACTAACAGCGTAGTAAAATAGAATTCTCATTTATATGGCAAAAATATTGAAGACACAAAGGTCTCATCCCCAAATTTAATAAATTTCAACTCCTTTTAAGGATACACAACTTTGTGAATGATGGTTGCTGCTCAAAATGTTGACTGCAAGCTTACATTCCTAATTCAAAACAGGTGGCTTCGGATAGAAAGTCATATCTAGCATTAGCTCCAACCCTTATGTAATAATAAGTCAATCGAAGAACACAACATCAAGCAAGAAGGGTCTGTAGTTCCCGGAAAAAAGCATATTGGATTATGCATGTTAAGGCTGAATGCAACAGGCGTGCAGCGCACGAGTGACGTCAACAACCAAACCTAACTAATGTGAGAAGAGTGAATCTCAGTTGTCTAAGAGACTAAGACTCCTTTCAATGTGGAAGCACAAGCAGACAAATGAATTAAACTTGTGCAGATCTTAGGCTCTTACAGTTTGCAAAATATTTATTTGTCTTTTTGTAAATTATCTTCCCCACACAAACCAACCACTCTTTTCCTAATTTACTATTCAATATGCAGTCTTTAACTTTTTTGGATCTGCATGTCTGTGCACCTCCCTGATGCGTCCTTGCATACAAACAACAACAACAACATACCCAGTAAAATCCCACTAGTGGGGTGTGGGGAGAGTAGAGTGTACGCAGACCTTACCCCTACCCCAAAAGAGTAGAGATGCTGTTTCCGGGAGACTCTCGACTCAACAGGAGAGACAATAATATCAGAAAAGAAACAAGAGAAAAGGCATGTAACAAGAGATGCCAGAAAGAAAATAACAACACATAAGTGAAAGGACAATAACACAAAACTAAGCAAAACAACAATGTGAACACAACATAAACCGCTAACCAACCTACACGAAACTCTATCAGACTACCCAGTACAAAGAGAGAAAAACTCTCGACTACCCCCTAGCCTACCACCCTAATGCTCGACCTCTACATGTTCTTATCAAGAGTTATGTCCTCGGAAATCTGAAGTCGCACCATGTCCTGCATGATCACCTCGCCCCAATACTTCTTAGGCCGCCCTCTGCCTCTTCTCATACCTGCCAAAGTCATCCGCTCACACCTCCTAACCGGTGCATCTAGGCTTCTCCTCCGCATGGGTCCGAACCATCTAAGTCGCGCTCCCGCATCTTGTCGTCCACGAGAGCCACGCCCACCCTCTCCCGAATATCTTCATTCTGAATCTTATCCAGCCTACTGTGCCCACACATCCATCTCAACATCCTTAATTCTGCTACTTTCATCTTCTGGATATGTAAATTCTTGACTGGTCAACACTCAGCTCCATACTACATGGTCTGGCCGGTCTAACCACCGCTCTATAGAACTTACCGTTGAGTTTCGGTGGCACATTCTACTCACACATGACTCCAAACGCTAACCTCTTTTTCATCCACCTCATCCCAATAAGTTCATTTTCCGTTACAGACTGAACAAGAAAATGTTGAGCAACAAACAGGGAGAAGAAAGAAAACAAAATGATGTATATCATGAAGGGAAACCAACACCAAAGAACAGTAATGGACATTCTCAAGCCTGCCAAAAAAATTGAAAAATGAAAAGGTAGCTGTTTGACCTTTGAAGACACGACCCATAATGAACGACATATTTTAATAAGTAACCTTAAACAGCAATATTCTGTGGCCTAGCGCATTAAAAAGCACTGTTAAACAATGGAACAACTACCCTTTGCATGGCAGAATTCACACAACAATATTCACTAAGGTACATATTACACTTAAATCCTTCCAGAGTTTCATATCATCATTTTCCACAGTATTCACTAACCAATAATTGGGCTGTATATATGCACCGACACCTAAAGTTACCATGATTTTTCATTAGACATCTCAACTAGGCCTTGTTCCGATTGAATACCTTTAGTAGGCCCGTGTACCAATCAGACACATTTGCATTGGCTTGGAAATACCTCAAGCGCGTGTTTGCAAGCGCTCCTCATATGGAATAATTAGCCAATCAAATCATTGATTACACTTGGAACAGGCCATTTCCACACCTATTTTGGACAGCTTTCTATACTTCTTTTCTTTTATAACCGTGGTGTCCAGGCCAGCTTGCACGCACCTCGACTAATTCCACGGGATACATGCTACCTCCCACCAGCAACAGGTACCAGGTAACTCTATTCACCAATGCTTGGACAGATGGGAAGTGTTATAAACCAAAGAAGTTCTATATTTCATATCTAGAAGAGAAAATTACAAGGCCTATTTATAATACTAATTCACCTAATTTATTAGTTGTCATACACCTAATTACACCTACTATACAACTCATATACATGTGCTAGCTATGATGTAGTACATGTGTATACATGTGCTACACAACTTGTATTACACCAAGTGGTTCTCTTTGTCGATGCTCCGCAAATAGAGACGGATCGTCTTACTCCAATCCATGTAATTGGAACCCATGAACTTATTCTCCGTAATTTTGGACATAATCGGAATGACATCAATGGTAGGTTTCGTTTCAGTCATCTTGCACCCGAATAATAGCAGAATCAAATAGTCAAGAACAGTGCAGTGAACAGTGAACAGTGATATTTGAACAGTACAGTGAACAATGAATAGTAATATTTGAACAGTGAACAGTGCAGTGAACAGCGAACAGTGCAGTGAACAGTGCCGGAACAGTGATCTTGGAAAATGAAAGTTGTCAGGAAAAAAAAATTTTGATAGTACCACTGTGGTCAGAATAGTGAGTAGAAAAATCTGTAAAGAAGCGGCCGGGGCAAAAAATAGCCGGAAATAGTGAAATAGAATCAAAGCAGCGAAAGACTGTTCTGAACAAAAATAATTCGAACGGGGAAAAAAAATTCCCAACAACAAACTGATGAAAAAATTTCAATGTTCTGATACCATATTATAAACCAAAGAAGTTCTATATTTCATATCTAGAAGAGAAGATTACAAGGCCTATTTATAATACTAATTCACCTAATCTATTAGTTGTGATACACCTAATTACACCTACTATACAACTCATATACATGTGTTAGCTATGATGTAGTACATGTGTATACATGTGCTACACAACCTGTATTACACCTACTATACAACTCATATATATGTGCTAGCTATGATGTAGTACATGTGTATACATGTGCTAGACAACTTGTATGTCAACAGGATGAAATGAATCACCTAGTATTTTTTGTCTCCGTTGGGATTTAAACCTGAGATCTCAGGTTGTCAACCCGCTTCATTGACCACTAGGCCACACCCTTGGATACAACTTTTCATACTTCTTCTTAGGTTCATCTTTCACACTGAGGTGCTTTAATTGACTAGCTATTCCATGTAAGGAGCGCTTGCAAACATGAGCTTGAGCCTTGAGGTATTTACAAGCCAGTGCAAATGTGTCTTATTGATATACTTTGGGCCTACTACAAGTGTTAAATTGGAACAAGGCATAGTTAAGGTGTCTAAATGAAAAATCGTGGCAACTTTAGGTATACTCATATGTATTCAGCCTAATAATTTTTAAACAATTATTGCAGTCATACTTTTAGGTCCAGTTCCATAGGCTGCAGCTATATTTCATGTCTTCAGATACAATAAAAGAACCAATATACGTCACCCCAACTTCCTCCAAATGATTTTCAGGACAAAAAACAGGTTTCTTTATTTTGCTAGAACTTATACCTCAGACACTCAAATAACCACCTGAGCAGCCTGCAACAGGATCCTCATAGAAGCATGTTTTGACCAATGCTGACAAGTTCCAAGACACCACCTAAAACTAGAGNTGCACAAAGCTCCCGCTATGCATGGGGTACGAGAAAGGGTCGGACCCAAGGGGCTTACCATGCATTTCTGCAAGCAGCTGTTTCCACGGATCGAACCCGTGACCTCCTGGTCACATGGCAGCAACTTTACCAGTTACGCCAAGGCTCCCCTTCAAATATTCTTGGCTACTTTAATTCACTCAAATGCCTGGCAAAACACATTGAACTGGTGTACTTTTCCCTATAGTTATACAGCCGTAGGTGCAAAAGGGGAGGGGGGGAACATATATTGCAAATTTGCAATGGTACTAAGAACAACATAAAGGCTAATAGAGTTGCAATACACATTCTCAAAAGCAAAGCTAAGTCTTGGGAACTCCATTTTACACTAGAATCCCAATAATCAGAGCGAGCCACACTTATAAATATAATCATTCAGATCAAAGCATCAATAAAAGTGCCCTCCGTAGAGAAATCAAATACAAAAGAAGACACTCAAGTACATGATTTGTCAATTAAACTAATTGTGTCAAACTCCATACCGTCCAATTATGTGTCTTTGCCAATCGCCTCGCAAGTGCATGTATGCAGTAAGCAACATCAGCACGAGGCCGCATCGCTGATGTATAAACCAAAATCTCTGCCAGAACCAAAAAACACATTGTTATCCCCAACATCTTTACACATTCTTACAGTAACAATCCAAACCCAAACAAATATTTACGAGTAAAATCCCTCTCAACTAATTCGGATTTGACATTAACAGAGGCAGATATAGAGTGTAACATAACCCAGTAACTTTAGCATAAACCTTCTATATGTTTTAATAAATCCACTAAATACATATGAATATTGAATTTAGAACCCCGTAACTAGCACTTGAGACATTCTGCTAGAATCCCAAACCCATCCTGGATCCACCTCTGGTTCACATAATTACCCCAAAAACTGATATCTATGTTGAAAAACACCATCTTCAGACCAAAAACAAAGAAACCCAAGTCAGGCAAACAATGATCTCAGTAAAAGCAAGGAATTCAAGTACTCAAACAACAACAACTACAACTACAACTCAGTCCCAAATAAGTTGGGATCGGCTGTATGAATCCTCATTGACCATGTTACTCCAGTTAAATCATCTTTATACACACACAAGTAAGAAGTACTAGAAGTTCTATATATTTTCCAAATGTATAGATCGAAAGGTTAAACCCAAGTACCCAAAAACACAATATTACTCAGAAATATGAAAACCCCAAAAACCAAATTTCTCAAATTTTAGACCCATCAACGAAAAATCTCATATTTTGGTACTGGATCTGTTAATAAAAAGTAAGTAAAAAAAAGACTCACTTCTAAGATGTCTGTCTTTTGGTGGGCACTCAACATGATTCGTAGCCTTAACGATCGCCACATCCACATCCTATAATCACCCAAAAAATCAAACATAAAAAAAAAATTGCGAGAAATTAATATTCTAGTAAAGTTCATAGTTGCATAGAGTGATCTTACTGCTACGATCCAAGATTCAGCCTTTATAAAAATACCCAAAGAAATTAATTAATATTAAAAAAAAAAAGATAAGAGAGAAAATTTAGGACCTTGAAATCGCTATTAACATGGGCAAGGCCAACTTTTGTGTGGTCTTTGAGAGCTCCATAGGCTTTCCTCCAACTTTGAAGCGTACCCATTTCTCTCTCTACAATTTCGCTTGAGAATCGGTGGTTTCTTCAGAGGGCAAAGAGGAAATGGGAGGTTACTATTCTTTGCTTCCCTTTCGGTTGATGGCACTTACGGCCTCTTTCCAATTTGGCCTTGGCCTTGTGAATCATTTCCTTTTTACTTTTTGGTCCAGTGGACCCCACTTTTATTTTTATTTTTTTTAATTTTATGCCTTGATTTTTTTTTCCATGCCTTTTTTATGTAAATAAATTTTGCGCATTGTCAACCTTAAACAATTGTTTAAGTTTTCAAGTATATAAATGTTTGAATAAATCAATCAACGAATACTAGTTGAGGTTAATTCTGTTTAGACCCATTTTAATACTCATAACAATTTATCTTGGTTATAATGCAACACTCCTTCTTTTGTGGTACTTATGACAAATATTTTTTTACAAAATAATAGTGTTTAATTATTTTTTTCTAATAAGCTTCGTCTAAATCACAAAATGAAAGACTTAGTAATTTTTCAAAAATATTTTATATTTACGTAATATCTTTGTACCCGTTTTTAGTCATGAACAAATTGTTGTGTACTCTAATTTAAATATTCATCTAATTAAATTTTTAAATGATAAAAGAGGAGGATGAAATTGAGATAACAAGGATGCTTGCGGGAAAAAAAAAAATTAATACCTGATGAAGGCTTTAAAAAAGAGAGCCTATATAGTAGCATATTAAGAAGAATCGATAGGTCTATATTAACAAGTAAGCAAAGATAAATGCTTTATTGAATAAGTTAAGACATGTTGGAGATTATTAATTGTTTTTTATTGCTGGAAAGGAAGGGGCAAACGTAATGAGATTCTAGACGGTCTTTTGACAGATCACCTAGTTTTTAGGCTGTATTAGAATACTAAATAATTAATACATTATTTAATGTCAACCACTTTTATAGCCCGTTTGACCAAGCTTCTAAAATCAGCTTATTTTGAAAAGTGCATTTCTCAAAAATACTTTTAAAAAAAAATATTTTTGGTAAAAAGTAGTTTGTGTTTGGCTAATTAATTAGAAAAATACTTTTGAAAAGTAATTAGTGTTTAGCCAAGCTTTTGAAAACTGCATTTAAGTGTATTTTTCTCAAAAGTGCTTCTCAGAAAAGTGTTTTTGGAGAGAAACTATTTTTTTCTGCTTCTCCTCAAAAACACTTTTTTTCTTCTAAAAATTTGACCAAACACTTTTGGCCCAAGAAAAAGCTTGGCCAAACAAGCTATTAGCAATATGAGCATTTGAGTTTGGAGGCAGGGTAGGCTAGTGCCTAGGTCTTCCATGCATAATTACTTTATTTTGGTAAGATCTCTTCTGTGCATGTAATTGAGCATTTTTCTTTCTCATATCCCTGTATTGGTGTTAATTTTGTATTTATATATTTTTAAATTTTTATTAATATATGTTGTTTTTTTGCTTTGATTTTCTTACTATTTTACTGTTGTTATTAGTTGTTGCTATTGCGATCCTTTTTTTAATCTTTTTTGAGCGAAGGATCTCTCGGAAACAACATTTCTACCTTCTCAAAATAGTCGTACATGCTTTGATAAGATCTCTTTTCTTCTTTTTTTTGCGTAAATATATGGTCTATTCATATACTTGTCCTATTTTCTTAGTCCACCTACTAATTAAAAGTTTGGAAAAAGATCAAATAAATTATGTTGGGATCTTTATTTTACTGACATTGCTTAATTTTATTTTATTTTGGCAAACGCTTAAATTATTTTTTACATTTAGTTTTCTTTGATTTGAAGTTAAAAGTGAGAAAAATGAAATTTATGCACATGTTAAGATGCTTTAATGTTAATGTTATTACCGTTAAAATTCTGTAGTATTAAAATTTGAACGTTTAAAGTTGGGTTTTTAAATTTTACCATTTTTTTATTAGGAAAATCGATTTATGAATTAAATATGTTCAAAAGTTTTGGGTGTGAAAGTGGACCTAGAAAAGTAATGTGACAAAATAATTGGTGAATAATTGATATTTTTGTGTGACAAAATAAAGTGCGAAAATGATGTAGAAAGATCTAAATATGAATAACATCAATCGTATCACAATTTACAGCTTGTTTGGATGATTGTGATGTATTATTTCATAACGTATCGTATATTGTATTGTATTGTATTGTATTGTATTGTATTGTATTGTACTGTATCGTTTTTGATGTATACAATGTTTGGATATATTGTATTGTTTTTTGTCGTTTTATGATGTCAAACACCAACAATATGAAAAATAAACTTGTAATATTATAAAGAAAAAGTATGTTACAAGATAAAATTATTATACAAAAAGGTAAGATAAAGGATAAAGTATGATTATTTAATAATATAGATGGACAAGATGAGAAAAAAAAATACGTGAATGACGCAACCACACCATATCAGTCGTTTCATAAAGTAGTACCTTTCGTCGTTACGTAATGAAAATTTTAACGATGCGATGCAACAAAATTTAAGTAGCAATTAAAACAAATATTATATTTAAAGTAACAATATGATATAATACAATAGTTAACAAGCATCCAAACAAGTTGTTAATGTTTTAAAGAGACCAAGACTCGATGGTAGAGTAATAATCTTTCTTTCACTAATCAGTCATTTTTTCAGTCTTAAGGACTATACTTTGGACTAGGAGTGGCAAACGAGCGGGTTGGATTGAATATGATTCGGATCAAAAATGGATAATGAAAACGGATAAATTATATGTCCCGACCCATATTTAATACAAATAAAAAATGGGTTAATCGGTGATAATATGGGTCATGACTTCCTGAATATAATCACTTTTGGGAGAATTCCTAGTCTCCCAAACTTGAGGAACCCCTAATTTGAAATTTTACAAATGTAAAAGTTAAACCCATTAGTTATCCATTGATTATCCATTTTCTAAATGAATAATATAGTTCTTATCCATATTTGATCCTTTTTTAAAAAATTCATTATTCAAACTATTTTTTAATGAATAATATGAGTGGTTAACTGTTTTCTTTATACATTTTGCCACCACTAGCACCAACTATCACTTCAATATTTCTTTTACTGTCGTTTACTTTTTATATTCCATTTTATATAACATTCTTTTCTTCTTCTTGTTTTGCATACTTTTAAAAGAATTACACATGTTTAGTTTAGCTTTAAACATTAAACTTTCTATTACTATCACAAAATAAAATTGATGGAATATGCAAACATATTAGTCAAACTAATATTTTGCATTTTGTATCTAATCAATTTGTGTCACACAAAATAGAATAAAAGGAGAATAATCTTGTTGGAATGGAGCAACTATTTCATTCGCATATGGCTTAACTGTGTAACGACCCGACCGATCGTTTTGAGCATTTGCACTTCGCTCGCCAGTTCTCGGGCATGACTAGCCCCGTATTCTCGATGACTTATGTAAATCGTCGGTTTGGTTTTCAGGATAATCGAAATAGATTTGGAAGAACAATTCTCAGCTTGAAGCTTTAAATTTGAAAGGTTTGACCAAGTTTTGACTTTTTAGTATTCGCTCTCGGATTTGGATTTTTATGATTTGGTTAGCTCCGTTAGGTGATTTTGGACTTGGGAGCGCATCCGGAATATATTTTGGAGGTCTGTGGTAGATTTAGGCTTGAATTGGCAAAATTGGAAATTTGGCGTTTCTTAGTCGGCAGTGCAAAACTTTGGTATCAAGGTTAGAATGGAATTCTGAAAGTTGTAGTAGGTTCGTAGTGTCATTTGTGATGTGTGTGCAAAATTTCAGGTCATTCGGACGAGGTTTGATAGGTTTCGGTGTTGTTTATGGAATTTGGAATTTAGATGTTCTTAAGCTTGAATCCGAGGGTAATTTGGTATTTTGATGTTGTTTTGAGTGATTCGAAAATTCGACTAAGTTTGAATGATGTTATGGGATGTGTTGGCATATTTGATTGAGGTCTCGAGGGCCTCGGGTGAGTTTCGGATGGTTAACAGATCATTTATGGCCATTGAGAGTTAGTTACTGGATAAACTCGCCTATAGAAACCAATTAAACGACAACCTTTGAGAGCAAATAATAGGGAATCCCGAGTGTACCATTTTTGTCATCCTACTCTAAAATTAAAAGTTTCCTTGCTATTTTTTGTTGTTCTGGTTCCTCTTACGCGTTCACGAGCCAGGTATCACGTTCGCGAAGAGTATCTGGAGATTGAGGAAGAATTGGTCTTCCCATTCGCGTAGGACGCATTATTGAAAGATTAGGAGCAGAGCCATCGCGAACGCGAGAGGAGTAACGTGTTCGCGGAGAAGAGAAGAGGCAGTTGGTACCCCATTCATTTGGCGTACGCGTTTGCAAGGGTGAGGTCGTGTTCCCGAAGAGGAGTTTCAGTAAAGCTTTGTGTTCGCGAGAGGCATGTCGCGTTCACGTAGAAGGGATTTCTGGTCAGAGGCAGTTTGTGCTTCGCGAACGCGAGAGGACGGTCACGTTCGTGAAGAAGGAAATCTGGGCAGGCAGTACTAATTTCAAAAATGAGGATTTGAATCCATAATTTCAAAATTCATTAGAGAGCTCGGGAGATGGCGATTTTGGATGGGATTTTCAGAGGATTGATTAGGATAAGTGTTTTTCACTCAAATTTGGTTAAATCTGATGATTATTATTTTTTTTATCATTTAATTTGGGAATTTGGGGTGAAAATTTGGGGGAAATGGAAGAAAATTTAGAGAGTTGAATTGAGGATTTGAGGGGCCATTTGAGGTCTGATTTTGATATTCTTGGTATGTATAGACTCGTGGGAGGATGAGGATTCTTGTGATGTGATTTTTATCAAATTTCGAGACGTGGACCTGGGGGCCGGGTTTGAGCAAATTCGGGATTTTTGGTCTAAATTGATAATTTTCGTATGGGTTTCATCCCTTTAGCATATATTGATGATAATATACTGATTTTGGTTAGAGTCGGAGCATTTAGAGGCCGAATCGAGAGGCAAGGGCATCGCGGGCTAGAGTTTTGGCTTGGTTTGAGGTAAGTAATGCTTCCAAACTTGGTTTTGCGGGTTCGAAACCCCGAACTATGTGTTCTATGATTACTATTGAGGTGACGCAAGTGCCAAGTGACAAGTGTGCGGGCGTG